TAATAGAAACAAAGGTGCAACTGACCCCACTTGGTGAAAAAGATCTCATTTTTCGTTGAGGTAAGATGGGCTAGTCAAGGAGAAATGATCCATAAGCTGTTGGAATATGAAGTTGGAGCTCTATTTTTAAATCCAAGATGCTGCCAGGGAAGCAGTTTTATTTTAAAAGCTCCTCCAGGTGCTGCAAACAGGAAGTTAGGATGGAGAACTACCGAATGTTCTGCAAGACCTTCTGTGACAAGGGCACACTCACCCTCACCTTGTCCTTGGGGTCATAGGAACATGAACTGTAAATAAGTCTTCATTAGTGTTTATTTTTTTAAAAGTTTTTTTTATTTATTTGAGAGAGAGAGAGCGAGTGCACGGAGGGGTAGAGGGAGAGGGAGGTGAGAAGCAGACTCCCCTCTGAGCTGGAAGCCCAACTGGGGCCTCGATCTCTCCACTCTGAGATCACGACCTGAAATCAAGAGGCTGATGCTTAACTGAGCCACCCAAGGGCCCCAGGATTCATTAGTGTTTAACAGGGAAAAAGGCAAGAATTCTAATCCAGTGTTGCTCATTGTAGCATTATTTAAAAATAAACAGAGATGTAAAATGAGAACCATATAACTTATATTTGAAGAATAAATAAGAAAATCATCCACCTACTTTCTTCTTAAAAATTAAAATTTGAACAGGAAAATTAAGTGGAATTTAAATTTCATAGCCTGTCTTTTGATCCCACCTTGCCCCCTAATCCCACACCAATCCACCCAAACAAACAGAGATTGAAAACCCAAGGCGCCTGGGTGGCTCAGTTGGTTAAGCATCTGCCTCCGGCTCAGGTCATGATCCCAGGGTCCTGGGATCGAGCCCCACATGCTGAGCAGGGAGCGTGCTTCTCCCTCTGCCACGCTCTTTCTCAAGTAAATTTTAAAAATCTTAAAAAAAAAAAAGACTGAAAACCCTTCTGGCCTCAGTGTCCTCATCCATAAGAATGAGTTTATCCGCTTCCCTACTTCCCCTGGTGGTTTGTACTATAGAGTGAAGTGAGATATCATAAGTACATAAGTAAAAGTGCTTTGTAATTTATAAAACAGGCTAACCAACATAAGATATCATTATTATAATTAAACCTGGGGTACAATTTTTAATTTTTCCAATTATTCCCCATAAGACAAAAGTGACTCTACTTCATGGCCTATATGTGATCTTTAAATTTTATGTAAGTTTGGCAATATAGTCACTGTAAATTAATGCATACAAGACAAAAAGTTATGGAATGCTAACTTTTTTGTCCATAATTTTTAAATCACAATTTTTGTGACTTTTCACTTTAAACCTAGGACTCATTACTGGAGGGATTTTCTTGAGAACTCACCTTAATATTCTTCCTTAGTTAATTTATTTTTCTTTTTCTTTTTCTTTAATAAACAGTGATTCATTACTTTTCACAACAATATGGAAATAATTCAATACCAATTTTTAATAACAACAAAGTGAGATCTAAAATAATTGCTCTGGGTACTTATTTATCTTTTTTAATTTAATTTGATTTTTATTTATTTTAGAGAGAGAGAGAGAAAGAGCATGCAAAGGAGCAGGGGGAGGGGCAGGGGGAGAGGAAGAGACCGAATCCCAAGCAGACTCCTGTGCTGAGCTCAGAGCCCAACACAGCTCAATCTCACGACCCTGGGATCAGTTTGGGCACTCAACTGACTGAGCCACCCAGGCGCCCCCCTGCTGTGGGTATTTAGACACCAAAAGAAACCAGAAGAGACAGAAGACTTCATTACTGTTGCTTCCTCATTAATCCAGGCATTCTTCCTTCAGGAGAAAGGAATCTTTAATTAGCAAACATTTTCTTCTTTTTCTTTCAGAAGTTTATAATCACACCAAATAACAACAACAATAAATGCAGCTGCTAATATAAACGGCATCCTTATATACCTTGGATTCCAATGCTTGTTAAATTTAAAGGCATCCTTTACAAAATTAAGCATAATTTTACATTAATCTTTGTTAAATCTGAAAAGTTCAGTAACTAGAAATCTGTTTCTATGTATTTTGTGTTTTTTTTTTAAAGTCTCAAAATTGATGTATATTTTTAAGGTAGGCTACATCTAGAGCTCACTTGTCCAACAGTAACAAAGTCACCGATGAACATTTCAAAATACTATATGGAACCAAACCCAACTCAATTTTACCTTACCATGGAAGGCCCACATGAGAGGTCATGTAACCTGTGGGTTCATAATATATTCAATGACTGTAATGATTAGTCAAAGATTAGCCACCCAGCCTTGTAATCAAAACTAGTCAACATCTCATCCAACCGTTCGATATTACTGCATTTTCCACAGTAACAACACTTAGAGTTTATCATCTTGTCGTTATCTTTATACTACTAAACTCAGAGGACTGCCACAGAATCACTCCCACCATTTGCAAAACATTCCATCAACTATGAAGTATTTAAGTGTTAACTCTTGCTAATTTAAGTACCAACTCTTGACAAAGGACAATACATATTTTTAAAACTATTAGAATTTCTTAATTAATTAATTAAATCTAAAAGAGCACCCCTGAGAACTAAAATTTGTACCATAATAAAGGCACACACTTCAAAATATCTGGAAACAGGGGCACCTGGGTGGCTCAATCGTTAACCATCTGCCTTTGGCTCAGGTCATGACCCAGGGTCCTGGGATCCAGCTTAGGTTAGCAGGGAGCCTGCTTCTCCCTCTCCCACTCCCCCTGCTTGTGTTCCCTCTCTCGCTGTGTCTCTCTCTGTCAAATAAATAAATAAAATAAAATAAAAAAAATCTGGAAACAAAAAACCTTTTAAATAACAGATAAGGCTGACAAAATGATTAAGTCAAATGACAAGGTAGAAAATGTTGCCCAGGTTAACAATTAATTTTTTTTATTTTATTTTTTTTTGCTTTTGACCTGGTGGGCACAAGGTAAAGGAACAATAGACTCTATGCAAGCTCCACTAATTACCAGAAAGTTGCTTTCATTGTACTGTCTGCTCTGGTAATAGTTACTGCTCATCCTACAGTGACACTCAAGGGTCTGAGCTCAATTCTCTAATACTCAGTTTTGATTCCCTAATATTTTTTTAATTTTTTATTGTTATGTTAATCACCATACATTACATCATTAGTTCTTGATGTAGTGTTCCATGATTCATTGTTTGTGCATAACACCCAGTGCTCCACGCAGAATGTGCCCTCTTTAATACCCATCACCAGACTAACCCATCCCCCCACTCCCCTCCCCTCTAGAACCCTCAGTTTGTTTTTCAGAGTCCATCGTCTCTCATGGTTCGTCTCCCCCTCCGACTTACTCCCCCTTCATTCTTCCCCTCCTGCTATCTTCTTCTTTTTCTTTTTTCTTAACATATGTTGCATTATTCGTTTCAGAAGTACAGATCTGTGATTCAACAGTCTTGCACAATTCACAGCGCTCACCATAGCACATACCCTACCCAATGTCTATCACCCAGCCACCCCATCCCTCCCACCCCCCACCACTCCAGCAACACTCAGTTTGTTTCCTGAGATTAAGAATTCCTCCTATCAGTGAGGTCATATGATACATGTCTTTCTCTGATTGACTTATTTCACTCAGCATAACACCCTCCAGTTCCATCCACGTCGTTGCAAATGGCAAGATCTCATTCCTTTTGATGGCTGAACAATTATTTTTTTATCATTCTGGAAAATTTATGCTCAACAGAAAGCACTGAAACTGGAGACAACAAAACTGAGTTCACTACATAAAACAATGTCTAGTTTTCACTAACTGCTTCCAACCAATTTACTGCTGCAAAGATTGTCACCAAAATGAATGGTAATCAATACTTGCACAATAAGAATAAATCCTGCTGAACCTTCTAACAGTCATGAAATAATATTTAGATCATCCTCAAATTAGGAACGAATGGGTTGAAAGAATGGTCTTATCCAAGTACTGACCATCAAAATTAGCCTCCCTCTCCCCCCTCAATATAGAGAAATGTAGAAGGGGGAAAAAAGTTACAATTTCTAAGAGCTTGTAAAGAGCCCTAAGAAAAGTTTTGCCTCTTGAAAACAAGATTTAAACATCAGAAGACATCTAGGGAACATTTATTAAATCAGTATTTCTAACGCTAATATGGGGGTGAGGTGGTGACAATGAGGTCAGCGTTCGTTAAAGTCAGAGACAACTTTGAATCCAATAATGACATTAACTCTGTTACAAATCCTGACGGCCTTTTGCAACGCGAAACGCTGGCAATTTGAAAACGTAACTGAATTCTTAAATACTGCAGTATTCAAATGACCTGGAGTGAATGAAAACTCAGCAAACACCCTTGTTCTTTCTGAACAATGACCTAAATAATGAATCACTATAAAAAGAACACATGACACACTCAATTCATCTGTTCACCCTCACATGTGCAAAGGTCTGTCAGTACCAGAGATAAGACACAATGAATTCACTACGACAGTCTGGTCACTTTAGTCATCAGAAAGTCTGTAAAAGGAGTAAATGAGAAACAGAATCAGAGAGGCGGAAAGCGTGGGGGAGGGCTCGTGCAGGGAGAGCGAAAGGGACTGGTGTCTAAGTCTGTGAAGCAGACAGGCTACGGGGAAGGCGAACTGGTACCCGACAAAACGAAGTTCGGAAATGAGACGGTCCAAGTCCGGGACACCAGCGGGGACGGCGCGGAGCCCGGCGGGACCCGCCTTTGTTGCTTTCCCACTTCCCCCGAATTTTAAGCACAAGTCTGCCTCAAAGCTGTTTCTCTTGAGGACAGGAGAGAGGGGGAACTGAGGGGAGGTGGTGGGGGCCGCGGGGGTTCACTTCCCCAGATATTTCATCCACCCAGAACCTAAACCCCCCGGTGGGGGTGGGGGGGCACAGACAGACAAACGCCGGGATCCCTCCCGGAGACTCTCCCTCGGGAAACAGAGGGTGGGGGCGCGCGGTGGGGGAGGGGGCTGATTCCCCTTCCAAGTGCGGCCACTTACGAAGACGCGCTGGGCACGAAGAAATCCACCGCGAAGCCGAAGTAACTTCCTTCGGGGCCGGAGTATTCGGCAGGACTGTCCACGTCGAGGTTGAAGGCGCCGCAAAGAGGCAGCAGGAATCCGGGAAGAAGGAACAGGAGGCGGCGAGGGCGAAGGCGTAGCCGCCGCCGCGGCGGAGAAGACATCGCCGGAGTGCGCGCGGAGCGCCGAGGCCGGAGCCGCGGCCACCCCTCCCGGAGCGCACGGTGTCCGCGGCCCGCCGCCGCCGCCGCCTTCGCACGCCGAAACTTGCCCGTCACTCGCTTCACGGCGAGTCCCGGACAGCGCCGGAGGAGGCAGGAGTGCTGAGCTGCCGAGCGGCCGCCCGGGAAGTGGGGCGCAGGGCGCGCGGGGCGGGGACAGCAGCGCTGGCGGCCCCTTGCCTCCCTCCGGCTCGGCCGCTCAGCGCCTGGGCTCGGGCTGGGGACTGCGCGGGTGAGCGCCGCACCCCCCCCCCGCCCCGCCCCGCCTGAGTGCGGCGGCTGGCGGCGGGAGGAGGCGGCGAAGGGGGAGGGGCCGGCCCGGGAGGCCGGGTCGCCGCGCAGGAGGAAGTGAAGGAGGAGAGTTGTCCTGCGACTGGGGAGAGCTGAGCGCACTTCCGTGCGCGGTGTCGCCTCCTGTCCCGGGAGCAAGGTCCCTGTGCCGAAGCCGCCGTCCCTCAGAGTCCCCGGCAGCGGCCGCGCTGTCGGACGAGGGCCTCAGACCCAGCTCCAGAGGGCTAGTGGTGGACGAAGGGGTGGACGAGCATCCCAACCCGCTCACGTCCAAGGGCACCCCACGCTCCCCGGTCCCGCCGGGAACTTGCGTGCGACTTTTGTTTAGAAGTGAGGAAAGCTTTATTCGCCTCTCGGTTTCTGCTCCTTAAAACCCTGGCAGGCACTCACAAACGAAACTCTATAATTAATGGTCCTTTGCCTCCCCAACTCTCCCACACACACTGAACTTAATTATAAACTTCGAGAATGTTAGCACAGCCTCTTCCAGGCGAGTTGTGTTAAAGCTGAACTTGAAGGATCGGCAAAGCAAAGAATTGGCAGTAATAGTTTTAAATCAAGGCAAACTAGTCGAAACCTTATTATAGTTTATTAGCTGACGTGTGATTTCGAATAACTATCACTGATTTAAGACATTTGGGTAGAAATATCATTTTAGAGTTGGAAGAAGGAATGTGCACCGGTGAAGTAAGGCCTCTCTGGACATATTGCTTTTGGTGTGTTTCATGGCGTCCAGGCTCCTGACAGTTCAACGGAGAGACTCGAGAGCAGGATCCCTGACCTCTTTCTTTATATTCTGTAGTCCTACCTAACCTTGCCAGGCAGAGTGAGCCATCAATAAAAGGTTGAATGGAGTTGAAATGATGAGTAAACTTTGCCCAGGGACGTGACTTTCCTATATTATGTGTCATGTGCTGAAGAATTTGGTGAACAAGACTGAGTGAGAGCGTAAATGCATTGTATAGACCTTAACTTACAAGTACTAGAACAGTAATTTTGGATTATTTTCCCAAAGTAGCTATTAAAAATCAATCACAATGCACATGAATCTCATAGCTTTTAATTCTGTGAAGGAATATGTATATAAGGAGAAATGAAATGTCTGCTTTGAATTTATAGTACTTAATTGCATTATATATTTTGATTCTTAAATTTGTCTAAAAAATATGCAGCAAAACCTTGCCCATGTTTCACAAACCACGGACTAGCACTTGTCTAAAAGGAAATTACCATGTGAGACAGATGATCCTACACAAAAACACAAAAATACTAATGTACCTTTCCCCTCACTGTGTTCCAGATGCACCTAAGAGGCATAAACTCAAAGGGGCTTTTATTCCTTAAAAGCCTGATAACCAATCCTCTTGGAAATCCATCCAGACAAGAAGGGCAGAAGAGTGTGGAGGTTTAAACTTGGCAGAAAGTTTAGTTTTAGTAAGCCCTCCCACTCCCCAACTTCTTTTTTTTTTTTTAAAGATTTTATTTATTTATTTGACAGAGAGACACAGTGAGAGCAGGAACACCAGCAGGGCGAGTGGGAGAGGGAGAAGCAGGCTTCCTGCCCAGCAGGGAGCCTGATGTGGACTCGATCCCAGGACCCTGGGATCATGACCTGAGCAGAAGGCAGACGCTTAATAACTGAGCCACCCAGGCGCCCACTCCAATCCCCAACTTCTGATTCAGGAAAGAAATTGAGTGAACTCTGGACCTCATTTCTATTAGGAGACAATGAACCAGACTAACTCAGTGCTTAAGGCACTCTGGGTTACAGGGGCGCCTGGGTGGCTCAGTGATTAAGCGTCTGCCTTCGGCTCAGGTCATGATCTCAGGGTCCTGGGATTGAGCCTGACATTGATCTTCCTGCTCAGCAGAGAGTCCGCTTCTCCCTCTCCCCCTGCCTACCTGTGCTCTCTAGCGCTCTGTCAAATAAATAAAATCTTTTAAAAATACTTTTAAAAAAGTACTCTGGGTTATAAATGCAGGCATCTTGGGACACCTGGGTAGCTCAGTCAGTTGGGTGACTGTCTTCAGCTCAGGTCATGTTCCCAGGGTCCTGGGATAGAGCCCCTCATTGGGCTCCCTGCTCAGCAGGGAGTCTGCTTCTCCCTCTCCCTCTACCCCTTCCTCCCTCTCGAAAGCATGCACCCGTGCACGCGCTCTCTCTCAAATAAATAAATGAAAGTAAATAAATAAATAAATAAATGCAAGCTTTTTTTTTTTTTTTTACCAGAGTAGTCATGCTTGAGCAGTCAGCTACCTAGCGCCTTGCAAAGTGAGGGAATTTATTACAGTGCATATCAATTCAGCCAGCACTTATGCAGGATCCACAATGTGCCAAGGTACTGCATGCATGGGAGAGGGAGAAGCATATTTTATTCTATGGAAGAAAAGCTCTGCCTCCCCCACCCAGTCCAATGACACTGCTCTTTAACGACATTATAACAATTCCCCAACTTAAAAGAACTGCATTAAATATAATCACTTTCTTATAGACGAAATGAAATATTAGATAGTAAAAAAGAATTTTGACTTTGAATTTTATCCTCTACCAGTGCTGTCCTTTCATTAGAAGCTTGATTCCATTGGTTTCTGTAAATTCAAATGCCTGAGTTCAATTCCTGAATTCATTCAGTACTAGTTCTGTGACTCTGGGCATATTGTGTGCCTCTGTTTTCTTATCTATAAAATGGGAAGGACAATAGCACCTACCCATAGAACTGAACAGTACTTTTTGCCATCAATACTTTTACTACTATTAGTTTAGTACAGTAGTAATAGTACATTTGTGTGACACTAATTTGTGACACTCTCTTAGTTCTCCTAGTACCTATCCAACAGTTCCTTCAATAACCATTATCCAACTAGGACTCCACTTGGCTTTGTCTCTGCTCACACAAAAGCACAGTCTTGTTACTCCAAAATAATGTAAGAGAAATTTCAAACTTTTATCTCTCAACATCAAGGTGGATTCTGGTCATAACTCATGCAAACCCTTCTGCAAACCCCTTTTTCCTACTCTCTGTTACTCTACGGGCTTTAATCCACTAAACCCTACAGTGTTGCCATTGCTTTTTTTGTCTGACTCTCTCCTGCCTCTCTTCTTTCAGCTACTAATGAGGGAGATTTACTTGGCCTTGCAGGCTTCATCTCCACTCCCACCCCCAGTGCTGCCTTTTCCTATTTGAAAAGATAAGAAAAGATTCTCAGCCAGCACTGGGTGCTCCTTGGGTGGTTGGGAAGGGAAGGAAAGCAGAAAACTTGTTTCCTTTTGAGTTTTTGCTTCCTAATCTACCCCCACCATGTTAGGATTATCCAAGTCTTTGTCTTGGTTCACTGCATTTCTTGTTCTACACATTCCCTGCAGGATCTTATTCATCACCACACTCTTACCACTCCCCACCTCACAAAGTAGCCTTAGCCATATTAAATTAATTACTTCCAGTTTCCCCAGAATGACATCTTGGTTCACAGGGCTCTATCTTCCTAGAAAAAAATTGACCCTCCTCTTCAACTACTTCCCCCAGCCTTCTTCCTTCTGCCACATACAGATTTACACAAGGTCCTCTATCTAGCTATTTCCTCCTCTTCTTTCAAGATGTGTATCAGGCCACATCATGTTCTCTAGGAAGCCTATAAAGAACCATGACTTAACTGTTTTTGTATCCCTTGCATTCAACACTGAGCCCAACAATGGAATTAATTCTACTGTCGGAAGACTTAATAATAACTAACAATTCTATTAAGTTTTCTCATTATGTGCTGGGCACTGCACTAAGCATTTTGATATATATTAAATCACTTATTAGTCATAAAATCCTATCAGATAGGTTCTATTAGTAGCCCAAATATAAAGATGAAGAAACTGATTCTCTAGGATTTGAATAATTTTTCCAATATCACATATCCTTGTGGGCAAGGAAGGGAGCTAGTAATGATCTCCAAGGTCTTCCGCATGCCTGAGAACCTGGACCTTCAGTGACCTCCCAGGCCAACTAGGGTGGTTGTTCATAACCCCCATGAAATGAAGTCATCTGATCTCATTCACGTATCTTTCCCCTACAGGAGACAGAATAAAGATGCCCACTGAGGATAAACTGGCTCACAGTTAGAAATGAAAAGGGGAAATCGTTCTCACCCTCATTTATAGATCTAATCCTCATCATAACGTTTTCATAACAGCGAGAAATCAGTCATTTGTTGCCTTTAGATTAGACACTCCTTCCGTATACTAGCAAAAGTTACAAACATAAGGTCAGATAAATGCTGAGGAAAATGTGGAAAAATCTTAGTTCTCCTGTTGAAAGGAGACAAAAACAACTTTTGTATAAAAATCCTAAGAAGGTAACATGTATAAGTGCAAATATTAAAAATTAATAATGATATCACTAAAGAAGCTCAAGTGCAAAGAGAAAGTTAGTGAGTGGATTAAGAAATTATACATAAAACATATTGTTTCCACTAGAGTCAAACTTACATTTTAAATATCCAGCCATATTTCCTCCTGAGGATGTACAATTATTGAGCACCTTTCTTGTGGTCCTATTGCCATAAGAGTCCTTTTTTTTTTTCAATTTAAATTCAATTAATTAACATATAGTGTATTATTAGTTTCAGAGGTAGAGGTCAGTGATTCATCAGTCTTATATAATATCAGGGCTCATTACAACTCGTGCCCTCCTTAATGCGCATCACCCAGTTACCCCATCTCCCTACCCTCTATCCCCTCCAGCAACCCTCAGTTTGCTTCCCATGATTAAGAATCTCTTATGGTTTGTCTCCCTCTCTGATTTCATCTTGTTTTATTTTTCTCTCTCTTCCTCGAGGATCCTCTGTTTTGTTTCTTAAATTCCACATATGAGTGAGATCTTTTCATGCATAAAAGTCCTTTTTCAAACAATCTTTCA